GTGGGGTTGTGGGTTGGGGTGGAGTGTAGGTTGGGTGTCTGGTTTGGGGTTGGAGTGTAGGTTGTTTGGGGTGGGGTGTGGGTTGGGGTGGGTGTTTGGTGGGGTTGATGAGTTAGGGGTGGGTGTTTGGTGAGGTGTCTGGTTGGGGTGGGGTGTGGTGTTGGTGGTGTCTGCTGGTTGGGGTTTGGGGTCTCGGTGGGGTGGGGTGTCTGGTTGGGTGTGAAGTGAAAGTGTCTGGTTGAGGTGGGGTCTGGTGGTTTGGGGTGGAGGTGTCTGGTTGGGTGGGATGCTCGGTGTTGGGGTGGAGTGTCTGGTTGGTTGGGGTTGGAAGTTGATTTGGGGTGGGGTTCTGAGTTGGGGTGGTGTCTGGTTGGGGTGGGGTGTCTGGTTGGGGTGAGAGTGTGGGTTGAGGTTGGGTTGTCTGGTTGGGGTGGGGTGCTCTGGTTGGTGGTTGTGTCTGGTTGGTGGGGTGGGGTGGGGTGCGGTTGGGGTGGGGATGTAGGTGTTGGGTGAGAGGTATCTGGTTGGGGTGTAGTTGGGTGGGGGTTGATGTGGTTGGGGTGGAGTTGTTTTGGGTGGGGTTGTCTGGTTGTTTGGGGTGGGTGTTGGGGTGGGGTGTTGGGGTGAGGAGTAGTTTTTTTTAGATTGTTGGTGAGGTGTCTGGTTGGGTGAGTCTCAGTTGTTTGAAGTGGTTGGGTGTGTCTGGTGGGTGGTGTCTCGGTTGGTTGGGGAGTGTAGTGTCTGGTTGGGTGGGTCTCGGAGTTGGTGGGAGGTTAGTCTGTTGGGGTGGGGTCTGGTGTTGGGGTGGGAGTGTCTGGTTGGGTGGGTCTTGGTGTTGGTGGGGTGTCTGGTTGGGGTGGGGTGTCGGTTGTTGGGGTGGAGATTGTCTGGTTGGGGTGGGGTCTCGGTGTTGGGGTGGGGTGTCTGGTTGAGGTGGGGTCTCGGGGTGTTGGGGTGGGGTGTCTGGTTGGGTGGGGTGGTTTGGGTGGGGTGTTTTGTCTGGTTAGGTGGGGTCTCGGTGTTGGTGAGGTGTCTGGTTGGAAGTGTTTGGTGGTGTCTGGTTGGGGTGGGTCTCGGTGTTGGGGTGGGATGCGGTTGGGTTGAGGTCTCGGTGTTGAGTGGAGGTGTCTGGTTGGGTGGAGTCTCGTTGTTGGGGTGGGGGTGTCTGGTTGGGGTCTCGGTGTTGGGGTGGGGTGTCTGGTTGGGGTAGGTCTCGGTGTTGGGGTGAGAGTTGTCTGGTTTGGAGTGGGTCTCGGTGTTGGGTGGAGGGTTGGGGTGGGATCTCGGTGTGGAGGAGGTGTCTGGTTGGGGTGGGGTGTGTTGGGGTGGTGTGTCTGGTTGTGGGTGGGGATCTAGGTGTTGGGGTGGTGTGGGGTGGGTCTGGGTGGAGTTTTGGTGGGTGGAGATCTCGGTGTTGGAGTGAGGGTTGTCTGGTTGGGGTGAGTGTTGTTGGGGTGAGGTGTGTGGGTGGTGAGGTGTCTGGTTGGAGTGTGGGTCTCGGTGTTGGGGTGGGGGTATCTTAGTTGGGGTAGAGTCTCGGTGTTAGAGTGAGGGTGTCTGGTTGGTGGGAGTCTCGGTGTTGTAGAGTGAGAGGTTGTCTGGTTAGGTGGAGTCTCGAGTGTTAGAGTGAGGTGTCTAGTTGGGTGAGTCTCGGTGTTAATTTTGTCTCCCAGCTTGTGTTCCGTAAATATCTAGTTAAGACTCTCCGTGCAAATGCAATGAAGTAACAATAGCTCTTTGTGTTACGCAACTGCACACACACTAGACAGTCTGGCTCTATCTGACTCGACACAGGGCCAACTACCAACTCCATTCCTATAGTATTTGGAAAGACTTATAATGCTGTGTCTTATTGCCTCATATAGTGATTCATTTATACTGTTTATTTGTTGTTGTTGTAATTATTATAATCCGTTTCACAAACACACAATTATGTTATGGATTATAAGATTATCACATTTAATTTATTTCAATCTACAGCAAAAGTAAGTCTTAGGTAATATGAACGCCGTTTTGAATACTGATAATTGAAGGAAAATCCGTTATATGGTCGTTAGATGTGAAGCACTCAATCTAAGCAGGTTATGAATAAACGTCCGTTATATCGAGGAGTCCGTTAGATGTAGGCACTCAATCTAGCAGGTTATAGAATAAACGTCCGTTATATCGAGTCCGTTAGATGTGAAGCACTCAATCTAACGGAATTATAAGATAAACGTCCATATCGAGGTCCGTTAGATGTAAACACTCAATCTAAGAATTATAGAGATAAACGTCCGTTATATCGAGGTCCGTTAAGATGTAAAGAGCACTCAATCTAACGGAATTATAAATAAACGTCCGTTATATCGAGTCCGTTAGATATGAAGCACTCAATCTAACGGAATTATAAGAGATAAACGTCCGTTATATCGAGGTCGTTAGATGTAGGCCTCAATCTAACGGAATTATAAAGATAAACGTCCGTTATATCGAGGGTCCGTTAGATAAAAGCACTCAATCTAACAGAATTACTTAGAATAAAACGTCCGTTATATCGAGGTCCGTTAGATGTAAACATACTCAATCTAACAGAATTATAGGAATAAACGTCCATTATATCGAGGGTCCGTTAGATGTGAAGCACTCAATCTAACGGAATTATAGAGATAAACGTCCGTTATATCGAGTCCGTTAGATGTGAAGCACTCAATCTAACGGAATTATAGAATAAAAACGTCCGTTATATCGAGGTCGTTAGATGTGAAGCACTCCAATCTAACGGAATTTATAATGAATAAACGTCCAGACATATCGAGAATATCACTGTACTGAAAATAATCGTACTTTTAATCTACGTAATATTAAATAGTAAAATAATTCTACTATAATGTATATAACTTAAGTAATTACATTATTATTTAAGAAATTGTAATATATAATTTAGATAAACAAAAGCAAATAAATTATATGAAAACAAAATAATAACACACACACTACTACTACTACTACTACTACTACTACTACTACTACTACTACTACTACTACTACTTGTAATTAAGAAGATTTGTAACCAGGTGAGAATGTTGGGTTTTCTGTGAGTAAAAATTTATGCTATTGCCATTAGCTATGCTTGCTGTATTAAGTTTATATGAATTGGGTATTATGCTTTTATATAGTGTTGCATATAATTAGTAAAGAAATTATTAATAAATGGTCTTTAAATAATAGTCAAGAAGAAATATTTCTTTAATATATTTAGTCCTTAATTATTAAGTGTCCGAATCTCGAAGTTATTGATGAGTTTAGTTTGTCATTGCCATATTACTTACGGCTAGAACTTAAAAAGATTAAAATATCTTAATGCAAAAAAAACATTTTAAATATTATATAAACTTTATTAGAAAAATTATATTCACTTAATTAATAATATGACAAATATTTAACTAATAAATGATAGAGAGAATCGGACAGAGTGAACAATAACAAACCACCATCTTGGTACTGTTATTTGTGTTGTGTCGTAAATTAGTGAAATTAGGAGTGTCTTAGACGTTAACAGGTGTGACTTATGAGGAGATAAAAGAACCACACAGCAGCTTCTGGCCTTAGGTCACCACACAGCAGCTTCTGGCCTCAGGTCACCACACAGCAGTTTGGCCTCAGGTCACCACACAGCAGCTTGGCCTCAGGTCAACACACGCAGCTTCTGGCCTCAGGTCAACAAGCAGCTTCTGGCCTCAGGTCACCACACAGCAGCTTGGCCTCAGGTCACCACACAGCAGCTTCTGGCCTCAGGTCACCACACAGCAGCTTCGCCTCAGGTCACCACACAGCAGCTTCTCCTCAGGTCACCACACAGCAGCTCTGGCCTCAGGTCACCACACAGCAGCCTTGGCCTCAGGTCACCACACACAGCAGCCTGGCCACAGGTCACCACACAGCAGCTTCTGGCCTCAGGTCACCACACAGCAGCTTCTGGCCTCAGGTCACCCACACAGCAGCTTCTGGCCTCAGGTCACCACACAGCAGCTTCTGGCCTCAGGTCACCACACAGCAGCTTCTGGCCTCAGGTCACCACACACTGGGTCAAGACCATTAGAGGCCAGCCGGTCATTGCCTGTTGATGAGGTAGGTCGACCAAACACTAGCACCTCGTCCTGTGTCACCAGTCTTCTCTCACCAAGTTCTTTGTTAACGTGGATCTTCTCAAACTATTCTTGGCCAACTGCTGCCTTTGGTAGATAATTAACACGGGTAAACATTAGTCTAATGGCTGGATGCCCTAAATGATATTACTGCCAGTTATCTTGTGTGTGTTCTCAAATATGACCTTCACTTTATTAACAAATGAGCAAATTTGGCCCAAGAAAGAAATATATTCATATATTGTTTTAAATAACCAAATACAAAATAAATGTCTGCAGCCATTAAACAAATATTAACCTTAGGATGTAAACTTAACATACTACAGCCAATCATATTGAAGTATTAGGATGTAACTTAACATACTACAGCCAATCATATTGAAGTATTAGGATGTAACTTAACATACTACAGCCAATTATATTGAAGTATTAGGATGTAACTTAACATACTACAGCCAATCATATTGAAGTATTAGGATGTAACTTAACATACTACAGCCAATCATATTGAAGTATTAGGATGTAACTTAACATACTACAGCCAATCATATTGAAGTATTTGATAACACCCTCAGGCCCAGCGTCTGCCTCCGGCTGCAGCGTCACCATGACATGTGAAGAGTGTCACCGGTCTTACATGGACATTATTTGTGAATTCCGGGAGAAAGACGACCGCGCCCTCCAGTTCTTCATGGATCATGGCATCCTTCCCACCACAAGGAACTGTCCAGACTGCCAGAGGCCCTGTACTTACCGAGCAGAAATGAAAATGTTCCGGTGTCATACGACAACAAAGATAAAGAAAACCAAACGGATAAAGCGTTGTGGCTACAGTTCGAGTTTGTATAAAGGAACTTGGCTTCACCATACCAGGATTAAACCAAACACGGCATTGTTGTTTATCAATGTTTTTCTTGAACAATATTTCTCCCAGGAAATATGTGAAAATGAACTAGGTTTAAGTGCCAAGTCGGTTGTGCAGTGGAAAACCTTTTGCAGTGAGGTGTGCATGTACTGGATGGAGAACCAGGAGCCAATTGGTGGACCAAACACAGTTGTTGAGATCGACAAGACTACATTTGGCAAGAGGAAAGTCTATCACGGGGTCCAGGTGAGGTGCGGCCTCTCGGTGTTTGGCGGCATCGAGCGTGGGTCGGGCCGCATGTTCATTGTACCGGTGGAAGAGATAGACTCTGACACCCTAGCTCCTCTGTGCCAGACATTCATCTCCGGGCACCACCGTCTACAGTGAGCGCTCCATAGCTCGTCGACTTAGAGTCCTTGGGTTTGGCCACCAGACAGTTAACCACAGGCAAGGCTTGCAAGACCCCATTACTGGCGTCCACACGGACAACATTAAACGGCTGTGGAAGGACATAAAATCGTGGGTCATGAGGAACGGCATCAGAAACTACAAGTACTACCTCGCTCGCTACCTCTTCTGCCACGCTCACCAAGACCACACCACAATCATTCACCACTTCC